TTATCAAATAAGGATTTCTGTTAGAAAAGAGATAGAAAAGTAATTACTAAAGGTCACATGTCGCTCTCCTATTTATACAAGTTAGGAGGGATGATTTCTCTAAATAAAAGATTTTCCTCAACAGAGTAGAGAGATATCCTCATATAGTTAAGAAAATCTTATATGCTTTCAATTTTGATTATCAAACATTTAATAAGTGATTTTGATATACTATCAACTTTCGTTCTTTAGTAAATGAATTTGATACAAGACCATCAAACTAAGTTTTAGGTATAAATTTTAAAGATCCGTTTTGAATCCTAAACCTTTGTAAATGTATTCGAAACACTATGATCGAACAAATATCTAAAATTTTAAGCACAGTTGTACAATCGGAGGGGAGCTTCCTGTAACATTCATACTGTAATTTTAATTAGATTTTAGGTGGCTTTTACTTTAGACAGTGATGGATCTTATCGTTCTAATAATTGTGAGTATTCTGGACTTTGACCTCTCGATCAAGGGTATGCAGGGCAATACTGAGGTTGCTGGTTGCAGTAGCAACAGAGCTTCATCCTCCATTCAAGCAAAAGATGGCACCATCTTGGAGGGTCTGAACTCTTAAGTTTGCCAGATAGGAAGGAGTCTCACGAAGGTGCCTTGGTTTCACAAAGACATTATTTCAGATATTTTTGAGCAATCCATGTTAATCTTTAGACTCATGTTTCTTAATAGGTGATTGTAATATTTGGAAAGGTACTTCTTGCAGTGAACTACCCTCAGACCTTGTTTTGAATCATATCTTAAATAGATACTTCTTTTCCTTGTTTTCAGAAAACAATTTCATACTCATGATTTAGATTCTTTACAATAAGATATAAAATTAAGGCATTTAAGCTCTTAGGTTGAACCTTTTAGAGGAAGTTCTAACATGGCAAAATGTGAGATAATCCTCTTCAATTTTCACTCATTTAATGTGTTTATATATATAAAAAAAAACTTAGCACACCTTTTTTTTGTTTTAAGTATAAATTCTTGCCTTATGTCGTTTTTGTTTATAATCATTTGCCTTATGGCTTTTTTCCTTTAAATTGGACCAACCATTTTGAATTTTATGATGTGTCCATTATGCATAATTTTATGATGCGACCAACTCCATTGTTGCCAAACCCATGTCATGTCTAATTGTCCACAACCCACATCTAATCAATATGCTTGAGTTGCAATACTCATTGCTATCATTCCTTTTCACTCCATTCCCTCCTATATGTTGAATCTAGATTTTGATAATGATGGACCCATTTGTTGATTCTGCTACTAACACTTGCATCAAAACTTTTAACTGTGGATTATTAGAAACAAAGGCTACATGAGTGCAACTTAATGCAGAGATATATAGTTAAGAATGTAACAAAGAGTAGCACCATTCTGTACATTCTACACATTTGTAATCCATTTGATGCAAGATTAAATGGCATCAATAAATCTCATCTTACATTATAGAAATCTCATCTCACCAAGTAATTATAGAAATCAAGCTACAATTTACTATACTACATCTCTTGAATCCCCAAAGCTCAACTCAAAGGATAAGCTGCTAAGAGAATAGCTTCGGCTGATCACAATTCAATCAGGAACCTAAAGCTGTAACACCATTAGTTGATTCTATCACAACCATAAAGAAGAAGAGAAATTAGAAGGAAATGAGCCAGTGAGCTATGCTGAATCGAACACATTTATAGCACGCAAGTCTCAGAAAAATAAAATAAACAGACATAAGATTAAACTCAAACAAACAAAGACAAATGCGGTCCAACATGATGCAGAAGTACCACTTGTTAAGATTTTTGGTAGGCAGAAATGCAGACCATGGTTCGGGCGTTTGGAAGATTCTTGTTCTATGTTTTTATTGTGCCCTTCATCCTCTTCTTCCCTTTTGTTTGTTCTTCTGAAGTCTATCAAAAGTATCTAATACCTGACTCAGTGGTTATGGAGCATGTTCTTAACAAGACTTCATCAGGTAGCAGTAGAGACAAAGATACTAGTAGTAAGTTTCTGAAACGCTGTAATTAAACCTCAAAATTTCCTTTTCCTTATTTATATTTAACAAATTAATTTTGTTTACCTAAGTCATCAAAATCTTTGTTGGTGCCTCAACTATCGACATTACTGTTTGATTAATCCATGCTATACTCCTTTGCCATACACATGCAAAAGGATGTCAATCAGACTTTATTATAAGGGCAGAATGTTTTGCATGTATATGATTCAGTGGATAAGGAGAGGCGTATGCGGTTGCACTGGAATCATGAGAATATTACTGTTAAATTAAAAGCTTAAATGATTTTTGTAAATTTTTAAGGTGATTTCAATGCAAAATTAGTTGAAATTGTGCTACATTGGGTGGATTTTATCATTTAACCCCAAATTTCATAGATTTTTAGGCCAAATAATCCATTTTTAGAAAGCTTTAGAATGAATTTGGGATAAAAAAAAACTCCTCAACATTGAATTAAATTGTTTCTTAATGGGGTTATAATAATTTCAGCATACATTGAGAATAAGTGTGACTCAATTCAAAACCAATATAACTAAGGTCATTTGATGCCAAAAATACCTATAGTGTGAACCCTTAGGAATCTAGATTTAAGAGTTAAAAAAAATTGAATAATAGATTGCATTTTACAGTGATTTCAGCACATTAAAAGATGAAATTATGCAAAATTAAGGGTCTTTTATTATTTAACCCCTAATTTAATGGATTTCAAGGTAAAAAAACCCTTATATATATTAATAAAAATATTTAGAATGAATCTGGATAAGAGAAACTCGAGTTTCATTGATTTTACTTTAATTGAAGTTATTAAATGTATATTCAAAATCATTATAATTTAGTTCATTTAAAAATAAAATTAAATAAACAGGTTGGACTACATTAATTTTGAATAAGGTCACACTGGTATTTGCCCCTCTTAAGAATCGGAATAACCTCTTTTAAAATCCACGTAATTTGGGTCATTTGAAGCAAAGAAATACCTTAAAAAGATATAAAAGTTTAGGAAGTTGGTTCCAAAATGAGATTTAAGAGTTTTGAGAATTATTTTAAACCTTAAAATGATATTTTGAAGAAGTCAGCATATTGTAAGATGAAATTGTGACAGGATCTTTTATCATTTAGCCTATAATTTCATTGATTTGAATGTCAAAAAAGCCTTTCATATATTTTTAGAAAGTTTGGAAGGAATTTTGATTAAAAAAAGAAACTTTTTGACCGTTGAGTTACACTGATTATTGTGCCTACCGAGAATCAAGGTAACATCATTTAAAAAAAAAAACTAGTGAAGCTACTATCATTTGAAGCCAAAAAATACCTAAGATGGACTAAAATTCTAGGAATTTAGTTGTCAATTGAGGTCTAAGAGTTTTGAAAAAAAATTTTAGTCATAGATACATTTTACAATGTTTTCGACATATTCAAAATGGAAATTTTGCCAAATTGGGTCTTTTATCATTTAGCCCCTAATTCCATGGATTTGAAGGTTAAAAAACTCTTATGTAAAATTTATCGAAAGTTTTAGAGTCAATTCGCATGAAAAATCCTTTTAAGGTTGAGTTACATTTATTCTGAATAAGGTTATAAATTTGGCCCATATTAAGAATGTGTCTAAGCCCTCTTACTAGTCATGTATCTCAAGTCATTTGAAGTAAAAAATATCTAAAATGATATGAAATTCCAGAAAAATAGTTCTAAAATGATATTTGAGAATTTTCTGAATCTTTAAATGGTGTTTTAAGATAATTTCAGCAAATTATAAGCTGAAATTATGCTAAATTGGGCAGTATTTTATATTTTAAAGGTCAAACAACCCTCCTATATATTTATAGAAAATTATCAAACGAATGAGATTACACTAAGTTCTCATTTGGGGCAAAATCAGTATAGTCCCATTCAATAGGGGCTAATTTGCTGACAAAGTAGCTAAGAACCTACTTATGTTTAATTCTCTTTTTTTCTCCTTTCTGTCCTTTCTATGCGTACAATAAGCATGAGCTATCAATCATACATGAAACACTAATTAACATAAAACTCACATATGAATATAATTCATACAAGGAACTTATAACCTCAATAATTTATTAGAATATATGGGTTGAAATCAACATATTTTACCAATTTAAAGAATTATAAAATTCTTAAAATTAACAAAATTCATTTCTCATCAGAAATTTTATTGGGTCTATATCAAATTGTGCAGTAAAGAATGCATTTTCCATCAGAAAATAAATATAAAATGCTCGATAATATGATCTCAGTGACTCGCAGCCTAAAATATATTTAGTTTGCTCAAACTCCAAATCCAACTAACTCTAGTCCCAGTGCCAATATTATGGACGGAAATAATGGAGCTTCAAAGTTATAAGACCACAGGTAGCAATTCGAACATGCAAAACCTTTGTTCTACTGGGAAGCGAGGCTTGGAAATAATATCAATACAATCAACATTCATATAATAGTTTTAACTTGCAGCAACTAAAAAGATGGGATCTATGACCAAATGGATCTGTAATCAAACCTTTTAAATGAAATATATTTAGACACAACATACCTTTCACAGGCACGAAGAAAAATGCTGAATGTTAGGGCTTTGGCGAAGCCCCGACGACTCTTCGAGTGTAAGGGAGACGAGAACGTGGCAAAATTGAGGAACGCGCACGCGAGAAGCCTAGGGCTTTGGCGGAGTTGAGAAGGTTGGGGCTTTGCTGGAGTCGACAAGCTTGGAGCTTCGGAAAAGTCGCGATGACCGGTCGTCAGGAGTGAACCTGGTTAGGTCTGATCGACTCAAACGAACCGGTTTAAAGTCACTTCCACGTGAACCGAGCCGAAGTCTTTGCGATGGTTAAGGGTATTTTGGTGTTATTGGAAAAGCTGGGATACTCGGGAATAATTAAAAATGACGGCTCCACCGAAACCAGAGTGACGAGGCATTATATAGGGAAGTCGCCTTTGCTCAGGTAATCACCGGTTTAGCATGTCTCTTTGCCACTTCCGTTCCCCTCTTCTTCTTCTTCTTCTTCGGAACCATGCAAGCTTTGGTAACGAGAAGAAAGCCATCACTTCCCCTGCCTCCTCCGGTCTCTCCTCTCTTTCATCCTTTTTTGGGGCATCTTAATTATTCCTCCTCTTCCCATTCGCCTCCATGGTATTCACCGCCGCCTCAAACCCCGCAAGCGGACCCTCTCCTCCTCACAATCTCCCACGCCGTCCTCGACTCCGCCACTACCTCTCTCGATGCCTCCCTGAAGCCCCTCTTACCGTCCATTAATCCATCCCTCTTTGTCTCCCTACTTACCCTCAATCCCCTCTCCCTCCCACCGTCCTCCCTGCTTGACTTCTTCCACTGGCTCTCCGCCCGCCCCACCTTTCGTCACACCCCCCTCTCCTACCTCGCCATGGCCGCCTTCCTCCTCCGGCATCGCCTCCCATCCGCGGCCCTCCCCCTCCTCCGCCTTCTCGTCGCCCGCCGCGGCCACCACTCGGCTCCCGCCCTCTTCTCCGCTGCCCTCCAGGCCGTCACCCCCGCCCCGCTCCAGTCCTCCCTCGTCGGCGCCCTTGCCGTCGAGTACGCCCGCGTTGGCCACGTCTCTGACGCCATCCAGTGTCTCCGCCTCTCCCACAGGCACGCCCTTCCGCTGCCGCTCGACTCGTGCTCTCGCCTCCTCGACCACCTCCTCAAGTCCAACTCCCCTGCTGCCGCCTGGGCTTTCTACTCCGAGATTCTTGCTGCCGGATTCCCACCCAGAGTGACAACGTTCAACGTGTTGATGCACTCCTTCTGCAAGGAAGGTAAGATCAAGCAAGCAAAGTCGATTTTTAATGAGATCACTAAGCATGGATCATGTCCCACGGTGGTGAGCTTCAACACCCTCATCAATGGTTACTGCAAAGTTGGGAACCTGGAGGCAGGATTCGAGTTAAAAGGTCGAATGCTCGATGTGGGTCTTGTTCCTGACGTTTTCACATACAGCGTCTTGATTAGAGGATTGTGCAAAGCGGGACGATTGGATGATGCCAACGAGTTATTCGATGAAATGTGCTCTAAAGGGTTGGTCCCAAATGCTGTTACCTTTACTACATTGATTGATGGGCACTGTAAGGAGGGAAAGATTGAGGATGCCATGGAGATTTATAAAGAAATGTTGAAGAGAAGTGTTAGACCTGATGTGATCACGTTAAATGCTACTGTGAATGTCCTTTGCAAGTCTGGAGATTTGGGAGAGGCAAATCGGGTTGTGGAGGAGATGAGACATAGTGGATTGCTGCCTGATAAAGTGACTTACACCACTCTGATTGATGGCTGTTGCAAGGAGGGTGATCTTAAGATGGCGATCGAGATTAAGAAGAGAATGGCAGTTGAAGGGATCGAGTTGGATGAAGTGACATACACAACACTTATCGCTGGGTTGAGTAGAGAAGGTTGGGTGGCGGATGCAAACACGACTCTGCATGAGATGGTAAGAGCTGGCCTCTTACCAGACATGGCAACCTACACTATGGTGATCGATGCATTTTGTAGGAAGGGAGATGTAAAGATGGGTTTTAAGTTGTTAAAGGAGATGCAAAGTAAGGGTCACAAGCCAGGGGTTGTCACATACAATGTGATCATGAATGGTCTCTGCAAGCTTGGACAAACGAAGAATGCAAACATGCTCCTAAATGCCATGATTAATGTGGGAGTTGCTCCAGATGATATTACCTATAATATTTTATTGGATGGGCATTGCAAGCATGGCAACATTGAAGACCATGAGGAATTAAAAGGTGAAAAGGGAATGATATTGGATTTTGCATCTTATTCTTCATTCATCAATGAATTAGTTAAAAGGCCTAAGAACCACTAAAACATATGCATAGGCCAGATGAGATGTATTATTATCTTGTTTATTAGACGTCCTCTTTGAGGCTCACAAAATTGTAGATGAATTGGGGCCATTTAGTACTTTCGAAAGATTGTCTTTATGGTGTGTGGATAATTTTGTTGACTATGTTGGATCTGTGAATCTCATTTTGTCATCAATTAATGTGCTGATGGATGTTATATTACCATGATATGAGGTTATTACCTTTTCTTGAAAGAAGACCATTGCTTCTCGGTCAAATGATTGCAGACTGTCTCTAGGAGTTACTCGGGGCTCTCAATGGAAGCCTCCAATACAATTCCACCTACGGCCACAACGAGCAACACTGTTAAGGAGGATGGTAGGCTGCTGGTGAACCTCTCAGAGGGATAACCTCCCATGCTGCATTTGTTGGCCTATGACTTCCATGAGTGTCCTCTGGCAAACTCTCAGCGACTACACTGGCCTCAAGCACAGAGTCCCAACAAGACTGGAGATCTGAATTGTTAGCATCCAAGGTGCCCTCTCCATGGAGCACCTTGCCTGAAAGGCAAGCGTCACTGCAGTGAAACTCCAAACGCCAACTGCAACTCCAAACTCCAAAGAGAGAAGGTTGGGGTGAACAGGAATGCTCGACTAGGACCCTATGTATATACGGTTTGATGAATGTTTCAAAGGTACACACATTATTAACTTGCACTTTGATACATGAAGGGGAGGTGGTCGGAGCCAAAGGAGAACAAGCAACTTGATGGGTCGAAGTATCATAACATCATTGTGATGATCCAAGAGGATGTGAAGAGTTCTGGATTGCTATCTTGGAACAACATGGGTCTTAACGTCCATGCAAAACTATCCTTCGTATGTTTTTATTTTTTTATTATATTATAGTTAGATTTAAGTATAAAAAAATATTATATCCAGCTTTGTGTTTGCTTGTATAAGGATCATCAAAAGAATGTCAAACAAACATTTTGAAATACACATAGTAGGAAATCATTCATATACACATTTCTCTTCATGACATTCATCCAAAGATTAGATGTATGTTTTTAATCTAAAAATCTTACTCTAGAAGAAGATATATGACAATATACATATGAAGACTTAATTCGTCTTGATATCCGAAGTCTTTTTGATGTAGTTTGACTTCTTGTATATACTACATATAATTTATATAATATACATAATATATAATACAAATATAAGATTTATAAATAACATACATAATATATTATAATACACATTATTTGTAACATATATGATGTATAATATATAAATATTAAATATTGTATGCTACGTATTATATTATATATATTTTTATAATTTCATGATATATTATATATTAACTTATGATATATAATATATAATATATAATATTATATACATTCTATATGGATATTATATATTATATGTTGTACATTGTATATTATACTATATTATTTATATTATTTTGTATATTTAATATTATATCACATTGTATCATATTTTTATTTTTTTTATTATATTATATTTTATTATGTTGTTCACATTTTTGCTTCATGAACTAAGAGAAAGAAAGATTATGGGAGAAAGAGGGATCGAAAGACTCTAGAGGTTGAGCGAGACGAAGAAGAAGAGCTGTGGTCAGTTGAGGCGAAGACCGGTGGAGGAGGTGGAAGAAAGCAATGATTGCAATAGGGTTAGAGGTGTGGAGGTGCACATGAAAGATGATGTTATGAATAAAGAACTAGGAGGGGAGAGAGAGCAATATAAGAGGAGAGAGGCATAGGAAAGAGCAAAGTTGGAGGGAACAAATAACAGGAATGAGATATAAGTAATGGGCAATGGATATCACTAGACGAAGAGGGTTTCACTTATTATCATTATTGTAAGTTTTCCGTAGACTAGGAGGAGAGAGTTGATGATGAGTAAGAGATGGTAGGAAGTGGAGGTGAAAGCATAGAAAGAGGAGAGAGTTGCGATGAAGATAGTGGTAAAGAAGGAGGGAGAGGAGGTGATAGAGGATAAGGAGAGTAATGATGTGTAGAAGACGGAGAAAGGTAAAGAGAAAGTATGACAAATAAGAAAAGAGATAAGTTGAAGGAGGAGGTGGAGACTAAAGAGGAGAAATGAGAGGAGGCGAAAAGGAGGAGTAAAAATTGGGTTATGAGTTTAGAAATTTTGATTTGAGTTATAATATCATTTAACATAAAGGATAAGATTATTTCTTTCCAATTAGAAAAGTAAAAATTATTATGAGGAATATCATTCGAAAAAAAAGTAAATTTTTTTCGATAAATAATATTTTTTTATAACTCTAATTAACTGATGCAAAAAAGAATTGTATGGAGGAATTCTACTGCATACAACGAGCCAGCGTTACACTGTACCTTATCTATTCCACCCACAAAATCACCCGCCTAAACTGGGACACGGACTTTCCATCCACACATCTAGTGGACCCCAATTTCATTAATGTGCGGATTTTCCGCCGGAGCTTCGACACGTGGGCGTCATGGCACCGCAGCTGAAAAGTGGGGCCCGCACATTTGCGAAGTAGAAACGCTTTTTTTGTTTCCGCAACTGCGGAATAAATAATGGAAATCCTTACCAACCCCAACGATCGAAACCAAACTCAACTAAGAAACTGCAAAACAACAAAAAATAAACATAAAAACCTGGAAATCACACTTTGGGTGAAGTGGTGGTGGTTGGTCGCCCTGCGAGTTAGTCGACGACGTCGCCGTCACTGCAGGTTTCCATATTTCCTTGGGGAAACGCTGACGCCCGTTTACTCCGAGATCGTTTCCCCGTCCTGTTCTCGTTCTTATCGTCCCTCGCCGGTAAACGCACCAAGGCGGACGACCGGATCGACTCGGCGGCTGCGGGACGTATGCGTGCCAAGTTATGTCGCTGGTGACAGAGAGTCTCATGGGCTCGCCGTGGGACGAGGTGGCGGAGTACACGAAGGCAGCCCAGGGGACGGGCTGCGATCCGGCCGTCTGGACCGTCCACGTCTCCTCAACGCTGGCGGCGCACGTCGTGCCCCTTCCATCGCCGGAGCTCGCCCAGCTGCTGGTTTCCCACCTGTGCTGGGGAAACAATGTTCCCCTCGCCTGGAAGTACGTCGAGAGGGCCCTTGCCGCCAACATTGCTCCGCCCATGCTGCTCCTCGCCCTCCTCTCCGTCAGGTCTATTGTGATCCTACGCCCGTTCTTTCAGAAAATAATGAACTAGCTGTCTCACATTTGTTCTGGATCTGTGCGGAATTTTCCGCTCTAGGGTTTTCGGAGATCATCCTTTTTTAATTATTTTTTTTCCGGGTTTTGGGTTAATAAAAGGTCGAGATTCACTTTGCTTTTCGAAATTTTTCACCTTTAACATTTGACTGCAATTCATTCTTATATCACTCCAGATTTGCTTGGACCTGATACGGATTTTGTCAAGCCCTAGAATTATGTGTGCTTGCTATCACACTTCGAATTGTGTCAGATCCCTCCTAACTCTATATATGTGCATACTATCCAATCCTTCCCACAGCCAGCCTCCAGCTCAGAGAAACTGAATAGGTTGTTCCGGATAGGTCATTACTTCTGTACGTTTTTGTCAAAAACAAGCATGAACTTGAATATTTACCAAATCTGGACATATTTTGCAGTTGCTAGTGGTATGGAAAAATAATGATAAACTAATAATTTACATGTAAACTAAATAAGCCACTGTAAGACTCACAGAGTAGGTGGTTAACTGAATTCTATGTTTTGTGCTTGGTTTGATGGCGTGAAGAGACAGTTCACGAGAAAAGAAGTATGAAAAAACATTCAGTCTTTATCCCATTAGGGTTAAACACTTCAAGATCACCAGAATTCCTCGACAAAAAGCTAGCCATGTGAAGAAAGCTCGGGAAGATGCCACTTCTTTTTCCTAAAGTTGTTATTTTCAGTAAATTTTGGGAAAATGTAAGTCATCAATCATGTAACTCGTGAAAAATTTCAGAGAAGATACCACTGTATTTTCTTGCTGAACTTGTTCTTTGCTGCCAGGCCGTACCCAAAATCCTCAACTTTGGACTGAAAATCATAACTGGTTACAAGTTGTCAAAATTTTATGTATAAATGCTAAGTAAACCATTGAAAAATCCAATATTATCAAGCTAAATTTTGAAACAGTCTAAGCCATTGATGCCAAAGTCTGAATTAAATCCATGTTTATTGGGAAAGAATTGAGTCCTTTTTTGTCTTTATACTGAAGTTTTCTTAGGCTGAGTACTTCATCATATTTGGGATGAACTTTCATGCAGTGTTATTTATTGATGATATTATTTTAATTATAATTAATAGTAGGAATTGTCTCTAAACTATTTTTGGAATGACAATGTTAGCTTTAAAACTAATTCTTTGGATCAAATTGGTCCCCAGAGTTAACCTTGGAACTACTTTTCCATAATGTGTTAAGCCCATCTAATTAGCATAAACAGCCATTTTCACACATTATAAAAGTACTTTTTCATCCCTCTTATATTCGCATGTCTTAATTGTGGTGACTCAGACTTAATGCAAGTTTAAGCTGGTTTCTGATATTGCCAATATTTGCAATGTCGATTAAATTCTCAAATTCAGTTGGGTCAGTGGCCATCCCTTAGCCAAATGGATTCAATTCCTTATGGGTTCTTTATTCCACCTATGAAATTTTGGGGATGATGACTGATGTGTATAGTCACATTGATAGTCAAATGAATTTGCATCAGGCCCAAAATAATGCCACAAGTGCACATAATATAAGTACCAACTCTTCCATGTGTTGGCATCAATATGGTGCCTATATGACACATTTGACACATGAGGGGTCCACTAAAAACTGAACTTGATGCATCCAGGAGCCACATGGAATCCATTTGGATGATATGTTGGCACATGATGGATGCAAGTTCATTGCCAGCAATCAACAAAATGGTCTGTGAGACATTTTGTGTTTGTGTTTGTGGATGACATGTTAGCCCATAATGGACGCAAGTTCATTGCCAGCAATCAAGGACTACCGGTGGGAATGACCCCTCTATGTGAAATAGCAACCAAGCTCCAAAATCTGTTCTTATTAAAATTGGTCCCTAAAGGTTAATGTGTTGGGCACTGTTTTCCCTGGTATTCCAAACCCACCTAGTTGCCATCAATGATCGCGGCCTTCTAGAATTATTATTTTTCCACCCTTTTGTACAATAATATGACCAGCTTGTGGTAACTAGCGCACAAAATAACATTTATAGGATCTTTTACATTGTCTTCTGCCTTTTCTTTTCCTTTTTAGTGGATAGTAGAATCTAAGATGATAGTGGTCTTCCTTTGAGGTGGTTATAATTTTTCCTAGTTCCCTGCTTCTTGTGCCACATTAACTTAAACTTTTGTTTCTTTTGCAGGATTATTCCAAGTCGATGTTCAAAGCCGGTGGCATATAGGCTGTATTTGGAACTTCTCCAGAGACATGCGTTTATCTTCACATCTCAGATAAAAGGACCAAGCTTTAAGAAGTTAGACAAAGTTTTCATTTTTCCACCTTAAATTGAACAATTGCATCCTTATTGAACTTCATCCTCCGTAAATAATGACTTTGCTTTCAGTCTGCGGCATCCTGAATCGTGGAAGCATTTCTTACTATTTTGTTTCCTTTTCTGATGGAACTAACATAAATTTTCATTTTTTACTGTGATTCTCAAAACAAATTTTGGAATTAGTTATGGCTACTTTGATTATTATTTGGTCTAATTATTGCGTAGATTAGTGTGATAACAATCCTAGATTTTTCTGTCTTGTGTGCAGGATAATGGCGTCAATCAATGATGTTCTTCATCTTTCTGAAAAATTTGGTATCCAAGCATCTGAACCAGGGGTTTTGGTAGTTGAATATGTTTTTTCCATTTTATGGCAGTTACTTGATGCAACCTTAGATGATGAAGGGTTGCAAGAATTGACACCAGAAAAGAAGGCCAAATGGATATCTAGGCCACATGACATGGAGATAGATGGAGAAGATGCATTTGATGAGAAAAAGACTGAATATAATGAAAAACTGCAGAAAGCAAATACTATAATGGCGATTGAACTCATTTGGCATTTCCTGAACCATAAAGTAATTTCCAAGCTTCTCTCCTTGGCACGTGAAAACATGTATGAATTTTCTATCTCTGAATCAATTCTGCATGTTTGCAAGATGTGTCAGCTCTCTTTATATAACTTGATGTTTTCTACTGTTTTAATTAATGAGACATCTAAACTGATGCACTTTTGGTTGAATTACCAATTTGGCATTATATTCTTAGAAGACTGCAAATCAAAAAGATTTATGTGGGCTCAAAATTGTTGATTTACCTATACTATGATAGTCTACCTTGAACTCTAAGATGTTTCAAATATAGTTCACTAGTCCTGGTTTCATGATGTTGTCTGAGTTGAAGAGTTTTTTTTGTCCTTTTCCTTAGAGAAGCAAGTTTGTATCAGTTTCTATTTCACTACAGAAATTTGGGGATGAAGTTTATTTTCCCATTTTATGAGATAATTTCTTGATACGAAAGATACTGATAAATGTTCATGAGGTCCAGGACTGAGTACAATTAGTGGCAGTTTTGGAGAAACAGGATAACATAGGATTAATTGCATAAAGATCCCGAGTCATTGGATATCCATTGGTGAAGATTTTGTAAATATACATAATTTGCACACCACAATTGAAAAAAATAAAACATTATTTCATAATACTTGCAGTAAGAGACTTTTGTTTCTTATAGTTATGGTTTTGCTCCATTCAGATTTTTCTTAATGACCACAAAGGTAGAACAATTTAACAGAACATCAGAAAATAGGATAGTGGAAATAATGGTAGTCTTTGTCTTGATAAAAGAATTTCATACATCTGAGTATGGTGCTATGCTTGGAGATGAAAATCAGAGTTCCAGTGCAAGAGGCTTCCACCACTATGTGATTTTAGAAAGGCTAGTGTACATAGCCTTACTCCAGCATACAAGCATACAGAGAGGCTGAAGGGATCTAGCCTGCAAAGGATCATCAGAGTTCATGCTATATGTACTATTCGACATGCAAAACTCAGCTTTGGATGGATTCTAGAACTTCTTATGTGTTTATCCAATGAGGAAGGGGATGGTTTGCATCTGGGAATATGTAAATGATAAGCATGACATGAGATATTTGTAAATGAAAGACAACTCCAAAAATTGATCAAATTCTTTCATTCACCCTTAAGAAGGATAAAAGAAACATGGATATTGTGCAACAATAACCAATGGTCTCTCTACACTTAATTTGACAAAATCATCTTTACAAATGTGAAATCTAACTTATTTTGACAAAATTCTGGAAACTATTCTCAAATGTAAATTCTAACCTTATCTTTCAAACAAGGACATTCTGGTTATCTTCATTCTTAAAGTTAAGCAACTTAGTTGTATTTGGTTAAGACAGTTCCGTTGATCTTGTAGCCATTTAGAGCTTTGATGACTTTGGATCTCTCTGTGCTTGTTCTATCTATTAAATGTTTTATTTAATCTATGAATTTCGTTATATTATAAAAGTGTCATGCTGTACCTTGGCATTACAAGTAAATTAGTTTATTTTAGCTTACATTTAGAAAAAGAAGAGTTCGATGTTGTTAATCATATAATGTAATGTTTTCGATCTTTTAAAATTTCTATAGATAGAAGAAAATATTTGAGTTAAAAAATTACCGTATCATTGTGTCATCTTACAGCTTAGTGATAAATCTCCTATTCTGCAAATGATCATCTAATCTATCAAACATAACTGCAACTTATTTTTGCTTCATGCCATGCTTATCCTTGCATAAAGATTTGAGACATGCTATATGATTTTTTGTGTTTAGGACAGGTTTCTACCATCAGTCAAATATAATCTCTAAGCCTTTAGTTATTCCATGAACTGTCATCAGCTCAACAGTTAGCAATAAGTTTCAATTGGAAAATGTTAATGACTTGTACTATCTGTGGCTTTTGGAAAGCTAGGTTGTTAAGTTGTTTATCATCCCGAACTGAATTGCTGTCTTTTGCTTTATCAACTCAGTACTCTCATGCTGTCATTCACCGGCCACATAAACCTTGTGAGCTTACTGTGTTAGTCTTTGGAGCTTTGTGGAAGAAACTTTAGGATTGCAGAAAGAAATTCCACACTTCATTCTTTGCAAGACAAAAACCTTATCCTGAACTTGATTTTGTATAGATTTTCTCCATTTTGTTAACAATTATTCATTGATAAATATAAATGTGTTTGAAGTTCTTGATCTTGGATTTGAATTAATCATGATTGGGCAGTAATGTGCTAAGAAATGTAAACTACTACTTTATTTCAGTGCATCTACCAGTCATGGCTTTGGTTATAACATTAGTGTTTAAATTTAATACTGATTACTGCACCTTTCTTTAACTATTAACAATATATAAATTTAAAATATAAGCTTTTCTCATGTCTGGCTCTAAACATTATTTACTAGAACAATTTTCTTCATAATATATGGTGGTTGCCAAAGTTCATATACCTTAAGCATAGATTTCCTGCCAGCACCTACTTTAGATTAACATAGTGATGTCCTAATGTCTGAATCTGCACATACTAATCAGGTATTGACTAAACAGAAATCATTTTGCTTCTTGTATGTTTTATATGGATGCTTTGTTGGATACAAACTCAGACTTCATTTGTTCTTAATATGGTTGAACCATAAGGTATTTTTGTTTAATCTTTTAAAACTTTCAATTGTCTGGTTGTAAAATATTTGTTTACAATAATTATTATCTAGGTCAATATATTGACAATATAGAAAGCTATGTTTCACAAGACTTTGTTAACTTACAATGACATTTTATATTTTAATTTTTAGGCCATCTCATTGGGGTTCTTTTGCTCAAAGCTTACACTTGCTCGCGACAAGCTCCTCAGCGTTGCATAATTCAACAATATCTGTTGATAAGTTGCAGCAGTTTGTTCAGGATATTTGGAAATTTGGCAGAGAATGGAAACCTAGTCATCACCAAGAAATCTGCACTCTCATTGCTCATGGATCTTTACCATCTGCTGGTGGCTGTTGTCATGGATCTACTAGTGGGGCCCTCTGGATTCCAGTAGATCTGTATCTTGAGGACTGTCTTGATGCATCAGTTGCTGCTACTGATGCAATCGAAGTTCTTAGTGGTAAAAGAATTTGCATACAATAAAAAAAAAATTCAGAACCTTTTTCTATGGGCTAATTTGAGTTGATTTGTTTTTCTATATATTTACTATGTAAATATTTTATTGCAGGATTAATCAAGGCTCTTCGAGCACTTAATGGTAGCACCTGGCATGATGCTTTTTTAGCCATTTGGATGGCCTCTCTTCGTGTTGTACAAAGGGTAAGGATCTCTATCTCTTTATGCAAATGCTTTTACATGATTGACGTCCAAATAAAGGTTACTGAAGAGATTTATTTCTTACAATCAGGAAAGGGATCCTCATGAGGGTCCTGTACCTCGCCTTGACACACGGTTATGCATGTTACTGTCGATAACGATACTTTCCATTGCTAACATTATTGAGGAAGAAGAAGCAACTATTATTGATGAGGCTGAACTGAGCAATCAATGGAAAGAAAAAACTGCTGGTGGAAAGTGCCGCAAAGATCTGGTGTCCAGCTTACAGATACTCGGTGATTATGAAAGCTTGCTGGTTCCTCCATTGTCTGTTACCTCCGTAGCCAATCAGGCTGCTGCAAAAGCTATGATGTTTGTTTCAGGCCTTACAGGTGGTAGTGGGTATCTGGAGAATGTAGCCATGAGTGACAAGACAGTAAATTGTGGTAAGTGACTAAGTTCTTCATTTTTAAAAGTTTATATAATTTCTTCTAATGTTTGCTTATTATTATTGTAAATGGCATCGATAGTTATCTGCTTAATCTTTACTGTTTAAATTTGTTTCAGCTGGAAATATGCGACATTTGATTATTGAGGCTTGTATTTCACGAAATTTATTGGACACATCAGCCTACTTTTGGCCAGGCTACATTACTGCACGTATCAACCAGATACCTCATTCAATGCCTAATCAAGTGCCTAATTGGTCTGCATTGATGAAGGGTGCACCTCTAACTTCATCAATGGTAAATGCTTTGGTGGCAACTCCTGCTTCAAGGTTCTGGGAATTTTGACTCAATCGCATTTAATCCTATTTGTACTATTGTAAATAGAAACTGATGAATCCATAATTGGGCAGTTAAATTATTCATTGTGATACTTCTTTAAGTAATTTTTGAAAAAACCAAGTTTAAGTTATTTTTCCTAATCTACACAATACAACTTCCTAACTTAATGGTCAATCATAATTTCTCATGCTTACATGCCATTTAGCAAGCATGCTAGATATTTATTGCCACCACAAAAATGTAGTTCTTATGAGGTGTTCATTACTTCATTCTATTATTTTACACTCGAAATGTGTGACAGAAGGTGTTAGTTAGATTTTCTTTGTTTTAACCTTTTTATTTAATCATTCAACTATCAATTAAAAATGAAATTTCACTGAAATTCTTTCATAAGGCCATGTGTATGGGATGGTTGATTTAGAATAGCAGCCCACTGAAACATTAATTTATGTGATGGAAGCTTAGCAGAGCTTGAGAAGATATTTGAAATTGCAATCAATGGATCAGATGATGACAAAATATCTGCTGCCACTATTCTATGTGGAGCCTCTCTATTTCGTGGGTGGAATATTCAGGTTAGTCAGCAGCTTATATGCTGATTTTTGAAATTTTTCTTATTTTTGCTACTGTTAGCATGCTATTGTATGTTCTTAAATAGAATTTGTGTAACTTTTTCCATTTAATTTGAACTACAAACATCTTCCCTTTCATATTGTTTGCCTTAAGAAAAAAAGGAAAACAAATCTCATAATTATTCTGCTCTAAATTCTAAGTATACATTAGAATATAACGTGATGTTTGTTATTTTGTAGGAGCATACCGTTCGCTTTGTTGTGAAACTGCTTTCACCTCCTATTCCTGTTGATTATGCTGAAGGAGAAAGCCATTTGATTAGTCATGGTCCTATGCTTAATGTTGTTCTTACTGGAATATCACCCGTGGACTGTGTTCAAATTTTCTCATTCCATGGCCTGGTGGGTTTAGATTTTGAGGCTGGTTATGAAAATCTTTCTATGACATCCTACCACTAAGCGAACCAATTTGCTATTCTTTTCAATGAGAATTATTTTTTGTGCATACCTATATCCAGGTACCGGAACTTGCAGGAGCACTGATGGCAATCTGTGAAGTGTTTGGATCTTGCTTTCCTAGTATCTCATGGACCAACACAACAGGGGAAGAGATATCTGTCCACACAGTGTTCTCTAATGCATTTATTCTTCTATTAAGATTGTGGAAATTTAACCATCCGCCACTTGAATATTGCATTTTGGGAGATGGTGCTCCAGTTGGATCACAATTAACTCCTGAATTCCTTCTCTTGATTCGTAATTCTAGAGTTTTATCGGATGCAAAATTAACCAAGAATAGAAGTAACCATGGGCGACTGTCAACCAGTACAAGCTCATCATCTGTGCATCCCATTTTTGTAGATTCGTTTCCAAAGTTAAAAACCTGGTACCGACAGCATCAAGCTTGTTTAGCATCGACACTTTCTGGACTGGTTCATGGAACTCCAGTGCATCAAAATGTGGATGCTCTTCTCAACATGATGTTCAGGAAGTTCACTAAAGGTGGTAGTCAACCAGTGTGTCCTGGAACATCTGGAAATAGCAGTTTAAGCAGTTCTTCAGGTCCAGCAAGTGATGACAACTCATTCAGACCCAAGCTACCCGCCTGGGACATTATGGAAGCAGTTCCATTTGTAGTTGATGCTGCTCTTACTGCTTGTTCTCATGGAAGGTTATATCCACGAGAATTAGCAACAGGTTTGTTAGTTTTACTTTGGGTATAAGTTTCCTCAATACTAAACCATCATCCTAAAATGGACTAAAAATATTTACTCTTATGCTACAAGAGTGATTTTGGAAATAACTTTCATGCATTTCTTATGTTTACATGTGTTCAGATTACATGACCAGAAATCACAATGTTTCATTTCATATAAAATAACTTTAATGCATCACCATCTTTTTAACTACTTGCTTAAAAATTATAATGAGCCATACAGATTCATTTTACAAACTTAGTTTAACTGTAGATTGGAGGAAATGTGCTTTAGTAAAATATTTCTTTTTTAATACAATGGTTCAGTGTAGCTACATTCAAGTGGATGGTGTTACAATATAGTGTTTCTTACAGTATATATTGATGATATAGCCTAGTGTCACTTTGTCAAATCATGATCCAATTTGTATCACTAACTTGGGTTATTCATTGTTTTACATAATATGATTTTGTTAACAATGACATGAAAAAAAAAGATTATGACAAAACCACCTTTGTATTTAAATGTTGCATTACTAAAGGAGAAGCGAGATTGCTTATAGGGGTAAGGTTGCATATGTTGATCCTTCCCAGACCTTATATCGATGGAAGTCTCATGCATGAGGTTGGTCGAGAGGGCTACTATAGTCATCAATAATATCAAAAATATTCACAAGTAACAAAAAGGAAGTGAATAAGAAATTTTGATAATGTATGGAGATTCATAAGGTGATGATGTGGAAAGCTAGTCTCTTATGGGCCCCACTTATTTGTGGATGCTAATGTCACATCATTGCTTGTTACATGTAGTGCCCATGTGGTACAACTACAAATCCTATATGTAACTTGAATTCATAAATAACATAATAGTAAGTCTATCTTGCACTGATGGCAATTTTGCTTGGTTTTGCTTGTATCGGGCAAAATTTCTTGATTCAAGCCTGAACCGAGTCCCCGACCATCCCCATTTTGTGCGGTCTGATCTGGTCCATTAAAAATGAGTCTTCGGTATCTACAATGACTGAGGGGGAGAAGTCCCAAGCCCTAATTGCGACTTCCCTTTAAACAATTTATATTTTTAATGGACCGGAACAGACCACCCGAAATGGTGGCCCACGTCTCAGTACGAGCTTGGATCGGTAAATTTGGCCTGGTATAAACCATGGAGATCTTTGTGAGAAGTACATAAGAATTCATGCAGCCATGCTTTTTGGTTTTCCTTCTTGACTATAATTAATTGAGAAACTTTTCCAGTTAAGTATGATGTCTTAAAAATTCAAAAGCTTAACTATGAAAACAAACTATTCTAAAACTTTATATGCTATGAATGATTTTGTAACAGAAATCATTGTTGGATCTGTAATATATGCTTGATAAATTGTTATAGGCATCTAATAATGGTTTAACATGCATTTAACAAATTTGACCTGATATGTTTAGGCCTCAAAGATCTTGCTGATTTTCTTCCTGCATCTCTGGCTACAATTGTAAGCTACTTTTCTGCTGAAGTAACACGAGGAGTTTGGAAGCCGGCTTTTATGAATGGAACTGATTGGCCAAGCCCTGCTGCAAATTTGTCAACTGTCGAAGAAAATATCAAAAGGATTGTTGCCGCAACTGGTGTTGATGTTCCAAGCCTAGCTGCAGGTGCTCATCTCTATGCTGTATTCAATTTAACTTTTCCTTCCACTAGTTATCTCTTTTGGATCATGCTAGAAGGGTACATGAACTTGCTAAGTGTGGAAGGAAAGTCTATTTTGATGGTTAATGCCAACTATCAATGCAGGAGGAAGCTCTCTTGCTACACTTCCATTACCCTTGGCAGCCTTTGTGAGCCTCACGATTACATATAAACTTGACAAAGCCTCAGAACGATTCCTTAATCTTGCTGGTCCAGCTTTGGAGAATCTTGCAGCAAGTTGTCCTTGGCCAAGCATGCCAATTGTTGCAGCCTTGTGGGCCCAAAAGGTGAAGAGATGGACTGATTTTCTTGTGTTTTCTGCATCACGCACTGTCTTCCACCACAACAATGATGCAGTTGTTCAGCTTCTCAGAAGTTGTTTCACTGCCACACTTGGTCTGTGCACTCAAATATCCAGCAATGGAGGTGTGGGTGGACTTCTTGGACATGGATTTGGTTCTCATTTTTCTGGAGGCCTCTCCCCTGTTGCTCCAGGAATTCTATACCTCCGAGTGTACAGATGCATTAAGGACATTTTTTCACTGACAGAAAATATTCTTTCCCTATTAATGGATGCAGTCAAAGAAATAACAGAAAGTGTCGTCAGCAAGGAGAGGTCCGATAAGATGAAGAAAACAAAGTACGGAATGAAATATGGGCAGGTCTCACTTGCTGCCGCCATGACACAAGTGAAGGTGGCAGCTGCTCTTGGAGCAACATTTGTGTGGTTATCAGGGGGATCAGGCATTGTCCAGTGTTTAATACAGGAGATTCTTCCTTCTTGGTTTCTCTCAGTCCATGAGTTAGATCTCGAAGGAGGGAATGGGGGGATGGTATATACTTTGAGCGGATATGCTCTGGCTTACTTTGCTGTCCTCAGCGGAATGTTTGCCTGGGGCATCGATTCAGTATCTGTTTCCAAGAGACGGCCAAGGGTCATTGCATCCCACATGGACTTCTTGTCAAGCGTCTTGGACGGGAAGATCTCACTTGGATGCAATTGGGTGCTATGGCGTGCATATGTCTCAGGGTTCTTGGGCTTGGTGGTGCAATGCGCACCGTATTGGGTGCTTGAGGTGGACTTGCACATCTTGAAGAAGCTCAGTCGAGGGCTAAAACAGTGGAAGGAGGATGAGCTTGCACTCGCACTGCTCAAAAGGGGGGGAGTTGAGGCGATGGGTGCAGCTGCTGAAGTGATTTTGTCTAATGAATGATGGCCATGCCCGGATGTCTTTTTTTTCTTCTTTTTTCTCCCTGAGTATATTGTTTGACAGCTTTACTAAATTTGTAAAGGTCCTTTTGTTCAGCTAAAAATCGTGTAAATGTCTGAGGTGTTTGTAGTTTTCGATCTCTATTTCTTCAAAAATTCTCTAGTTATGTATAATAATCGTAGCTTGTAGCAGTTAATTTTCCCTTGGATCTCATGTGGTTGATTTTGTTCAAGTTTCCATGTGTAATTTTTATTTCCTCGTAGTTGATAGAGGAAAATAAGGTTAAAAGAAGTCAAGATAAGTGGTCTTCACATTTGAATTGGACAATGATAAAGAGGGGTCTGCAAGGAGACACCATTAAAAAAGTCAACTTCCACTTGATCAAGAGAATACTAGTCTTGAATTCTCAACTTTATCACAATATTAAACCCATTACAGTGATCCCTATTTCTCTGGCCAGCCGATTAAATGAAAAAAGAACAATGGCGTTGTTGTTTAAGTTTTACATCTTTTTGATAAGTTGTAATATTTTATTTGTGCATCAATTTAGATGTTTACATGAACCAATTTTTCACTATTGAGTTTGTTTATCTTATTTTCGATTATAATTGTTATTCCACTGCTTTATGTTGATTTTGGTAACAATTTAAGTCCTAATGGTTGGATTTGACTTTGTTTAGATTGTTCTGATCACAAAACTCATGATTCACTGATTTTTTTTTATGAAATTGATAACTACAATATGATAATGAATTAGATTATGAGATTACAGTTTTATTTTATATATCATGAGTTAAAATCATGAGTAATTTATATTTCTGTATTATGTGATTTGATAGTCAAGTCATAAAGTTTATAAATCAATTTTTATCCATGATTAGTTAATGCTTATGAATAAAAATGACATGATGATAAACTTTGTACTGGACATATTGATATTCATAGGCCATAATGACATTATGCTTATAATAATTAAAGATACATATGATAATTAATGTATTCTATTAGATTATTTTGTATATTCAAATATATTATATTGGGTTTGAATATATTCAATTGTTAACTTGTTGAATATTTATTTAAAATGACTTATATAAATATTTCTAAGCCATCATCAATCAGCTAAATCCTACTATCAACCAGTACAAAATAATAAAAAGATATTTTATGCCCTTAATAAAATATTTCTATATTGTTTAATGGCGAAAAAGATCCATGTACATAACCTAAACCTAAACCAAAAGAGACGACCATACTTGCATAGAGTTCAAACAAGTGCTTGATGCGAGAAAACATATTTACATAGACTGGCATGTATGTATGTAATGTAGATGTCTTCTTAAATACTTTACTAAAATGGTGCATAACTTAGAAATACGATTTTGGATATGAAATTTATATTCTAAATACTTTGTTAGAAAGAGAAATTAGGAAATCAAAATTTTACCCTTTCAATAAAGGTTAAATAAATACAGAGGAGGATTGATTAGACTTAGTTTCATTGTCGATGATAGAAAGTCAAGAAGACATCGAAAACCTAATGAAAACTCGATAACAAGCTAAAAATCCAGAGGAGACTTCGAGAAAAAAAATCAAAAAAAATATTATTATGACTATAAAAATAAATAAATATATATATATATATACTCTCGATACACTAAATATACCGATACACTATCGATAGTAGTGCAACTTAAATGATCCATTTGATAAAATTCAAATCGAATCAATTTATTTCGAATTGTCAAATAGATCGTTTCCACATATGAGATAAAAAACATATCATCATAACTTAAAAAAATAATAAGGGGATGCCATTATCGGATAAAAAAACTAATACTAAATTTTTTTTCCTAATAAAAAATATCTTAAATGTTATTTCCAAACTTTGAAAGGATAAAAATTATAAAACCAACGGAAAGAAAACCGGCCATAAGCCTATCAACTTACCGTATAAAAGAAAGAACAGCCCAGTAACAGAATACTAATAAGCCCGCCATCTCCTTTCACACCACTGTTCACAAAACGACTGTCCTCTCTTCCCCTCGGAAAAGTCAAGAAGGAAGACCCGATCAACACTGCGTCCCACCTTCTTCTCTTGTTCCTCCTCTTCCTCTATCAGCTCCTCCTCGACCTCAAATCCTAAACCACCCCCTTTTTGGAGGAAGAAGAGATGGAGAGGGAGACAGAGCGGCCTCCTCCGCCGCAGCTCCATGGCGTCGTCATCATCTCCCTTCCGCCTCCCGACAACCCCTTCAAGGGCAAGACCATCACGGCCTTCACCCTCTCCGACGACGCCCCACCGCCACCACCACATGTCCCCCCCGCCGCTCGATCCCCCCTCACGCGGGCGGCACGCCGTTCTCTTCTCTCTCCCAGGAGCGCCGCGGCCGCCGTCCTCGGCGCCTCGCTTCTCCTCTTCTCCCTCTGGATCTGCCTCTTTTCCGAGGCTCCCATGCAGCTGCTCGACGAACCCTCGAGGGAGGAGGATGGCCGCCGGCAGGAGGAGGAACGTTCCTTTTTGTTCCCACTCTACCCCAAATCTGGCGGCCGGGCCCTTCGCGAGGTGGGGGGTGTGAAATTGGGCTCTATTTCGCGGAAGAGGAAGCAGAGTGGCAAGATGGAGACGTATGCGTCAGCAAATTCTTCCACTGTGCTTCCTATCGGCGGCAATCTTTTCCCAGACGGGTATGCTTGCTTTTGGCTTATAAACGCTTTGTGAATCGATCTGAAATGCATTAATGTAGTAATAGGAAAATTTTGCTTCGATCTTCAGTCTTTCTGACTGAAAACAAATTCTGTACGCAAGTGATTAAACTTGTATGTGGCAACAATGTTGCTTTGGAGTTTATCTAATATACATTTAAGGTCATCTAATTGTCAGTCAAGGATTGTATTAATTATTTGTTGAATAGACGAATTGTGTCTTTAATTCAACACTAACGAGTCAATTCTTTTGCTGTGCATTAATAGTGATGCGATTGACAAAACGTTCCAACTGAAGCCTATCTGCAAGGATTAGAATATTTGTTCTGGTAGATGTGTTCATAAGTATAAAAGCGGTCTTTTGCCATTCAGAATGATATACTCATTCAACTGTACTAGAAGTTTATCTATGCTTGTATACAAGAATATAACTGATAGCATCGTCAAATTGCTCATTTCTTTCTTTTCTTAAAGTAGTAATCTTTCTGTACCATCTAATTGGAGTAATGAATGAAGAAATGAACATAAGGTCAGCTTCACGTCCTAACTGATTTAGAGTTCACATGATTGATATTGGAACTAGTATCGTCCGAGGATAATTGATTAGATTGGTTGGATCACACTGGCAAGATCATAACTTTATTTTTAAAAAACTGTAACTTATGAAAATTAATATAATATATCAAAACTTTATAAAATATGAAATAAAGTTTGATAAAACAAAAACATTATGATAAATTATTTTTTTATCTCCATATTTTATAGAATATTGATCTTTTACATAACAACATATGGCATTGATATATAAAAACTAAAAAGAACAACGAAATTTTTATAAAAAAAATATTAACAAGTAATACAACTAATTGTCGTTAGAAAATATGTAATAATATTATTAGTCAATCCAATTCAGAACTTATCAACCTCATCCTTTAAAGATGAAAAATAAGCCCCCTTGTGACGGTTTCTTCTCTAATAACCATCAAAGTGTCAGATAATCTAAAAACAAGTACAAACATTTTTTAGGATTTAATTCTATATCCCATGACTTTTCTATTTCGTGATAATATCTTTGTTTACTTAAGTAAATTGTAATTATTTTCTACCTTTCCCTTTTCAATTTTTGTAGCCATTCTCTTTATCTTACATGACGATGTATGGTAAAAATTGCAACAATAATGGTAGATGGTAAACATGATTGTTTAAAGTAAAAAGGAAAAAAAAAAGTGTCTCCTTCTCTATTTTACAATTATCTTCAGATTCTTTTGACTTTCTTCTATCTTGACTTGCATCTTGTTCTCCTTTTCCTCCTCTTTTTCTCTTTTTCCATATTAGGCTCTGAAATTAGTTAAAATTGGTCAATATTGATCAACTATAGTTGATTTTAATTTATTCTAGTCATTTCTTATTGATTTCAAACTATATGGGCAAGAAATCAGTTGAAATCAGATTGACATTACATGATGCTTATACATATCAGATACACCTTGTCCGAATCAGCTGCTGCTTCAATCTGTGTCCACTCAGAACATGTCATTTGATGAAAGTCTTCTGCATTATGAACTTAGATGCTACTGTTATTATCTTAATTTTCTTGTCTTTTAAGCTTTGAAGATGGTGATTTTCTTCTTTTATGAATTTAATACTTTCATGAATTTATCACTTAAAATGATTAGGTTTACATGATTTCAAAGTAATATTTGGATATGCCATTTCTTTAACCAACCATCTAATCAGCAAAGGCAAACATCTAGTCTTTCATAAACTAGTAGTGATATGTGTCTTTTTAGACAGAGGGACAGAAGATTCTCAAATCAGATATTTTTTAAATAATATACATGTTCATCTAATATCTTTGGACTGTTGTGCTCCTATGACTTGGAATGAGTCTTCTGTAACTTCATATATTTTGTCTAACTGAACATATATGTCATACAATCTACACTCTCATTTATTTGTTTTTGTTTAGAAAATGGAACTCTAGTCATAAAAAAATGATTACCAACAAACCTGGAATGTTATCCGTTAATGTTGTAAACTTGGTCAAACTTATCATTGTCAAGATCCAGCTTAATGGACTTAACCTTTCCTCTGCTTCAAGACATTTTATTTGGTCTTTAAGCCAACAAACTGTTGGTGACTCAACAGCATATTCCATTGAATAACCATTATTTACAAAGCTTCAATATGCATCTGAATGGTTCTCAACTTACTGTGAAACCACCATTATTTACAAACCTTATATTACATGGGAAGAGACAATTTACCATGCTTATTGATCAGACTGATGGATTTTATTCCTATACTTTGATCTCTTATCTTGTCTTCCATGAGGCTTAAAACTTTGGTAGAGTCACATCAATAATTTACACAGTAATCTATGGTGTTTTAGTTAGCATTTTCCACCAAGATTTCATGCATAATTCTTTTTTCTATGCTATAAGGAATCTGGACATCCTCGATATTTTTCACTTATGGTTTGGAATCATTTATCTTAAGTTTGGGCCTTTCTTAACTCAAAAGTCTTTGTCGAAAACTCAATCTTGATTCCTTGTTTCTGGCCCATGTAATTCTTTTTGGAAAGTTTTTTAATTAATTCTTTTCATTCAAACATTACATGGCAAACGTATTTGACGCTTACATGATTTGAACTCCTTATCTCAACTGTGCAAACTGCAACTTAACCATTAGGATATCCCAACAGAGATTTTTTGAAAGTTACTTTATGCATTATTAGATCTAATTTGGGACATAAAAAATAGCGTGTAGTCAGTGATTTATGTAGATCTTATAAGATTGTGATATTTTAACCATTGTTCGTATTTGTCACTCCAGTTATAATCCTTAGACTTGTTATCATTTTGATGTATCTTTTATTGTTTTTGCAGACAGTATTACACAACTCTTTTTGTTGGGAGTTCACCAAGACCTTATTATCTTGATGTGGATACTGGGAGTGACTTGACATGGATTCAGTGTGATGCTCCATGCGCTAGTTGTGCCAAGGTACATCTAAGTTTATTATCCACTTTTTTTTTAAGTTATTCAAACTTTCAAAGTTATACTTAAGAGTATGGACCAACCATTACTGTCTTCATGTAAATGCTTCACCTATTTGAATGAAGTTAGGACCATGAAATCTCGACTACATGCATATATATTTTGATATGAAAGTTTAAAGCTTTCTAACAATTTAATTTTCTGGTATATTCTGAAAAACTATCACCTTCATTACACTGACAAACACATCTTTATAGGGACCTCATCCCCTATACAAGCCCAGAAAAGGAAATCTTGTTTTGCCCAAGGATTCTTTGTGCTTGGAAGTGCAAAAAAATCAGAACAACCATTATTGTGATTCTTGCCATCAGTGTGACTATGAGATTGAATATGCTGATCATAGTTCTTCCATGGGTGTCCTTGCAACAGATGAAATGCACCTTATTGCTGCAAATGGTGACAGGGCAAAGTTGAATTTTGTTTTTGGGTATGAGTTATTGTATATTGACGTTTCAGAAATCTTTTACACATCAATTGATGGTTTGATTTACTTGTCTTCAAAATACTGTACAGGTGTGCTTATGATCAACAAGGCCAACTTTTAGTCTCTCCTGCGAAAACAGATGGGATCCTTGGTCTCAGCAGTTCCAGGATAAGTCTGGCTTCTCAATTGGAAAGTCAAGGAATCATAAGCAATGTCATCGGTCATTGCATAAAACGTGATGCTGATGGTGGTGGATACTTGTTTTTAGGTGATGATTATGTTCCTCGATGGGGCATGACTTTGATACCCAGGCAAAATGACCTTACGTAAGCAACATCACTGCATAGCATCTTGATAAATCCATCTAGAGAACATAATAATGAAGATCAAGCCTTTCTATTTAAAGCTTCACTTTCTTCTCAGGCACATGACTTTTTATATATTTATCAAAATGCCATAGCTTTCTTTTGCCGCCGTTGTTTTTTTTTTTTTTCTTTATATATGTTTGTCCATTTTATATATCTACATAATTTTTTGTTACTTTTTAAGAGAAATTGACCTTATATATGTGCACCTTTCTAAATATTGGTATTTACCCCCCAAAATTTGATATTTTGATTTAGACTTTTGCATTTACCGTTTGAACATATCTCAGCAACAAACAACTCGATACCTAATGTTCAGTTCATTTAATCAAAAGATTTTTAAGACAAAAAATGCCCTTGATTGACTTAATTAGTTTAGACGTTCAAGGCTTCCAACCTTTTAAAGCACATTAACACATTAAATGGTAATTTTATAACATGAAGGTAAAAATAATAATAATAAGCATATGCTAACTTCTTATTAGTTCACAAGGTTTTTATTAGATATACTACATTTTTGGGATAATATATGCAGATGTTGACCTTTGAGGGATATAATTGTATACAAATATTTTTAGGGGTATATTTGGAATAACACATAGAAGTTTGTCTCTATTGTATGGTTTAATACAAGTCTATTGTAGCTAACCTCCATGCTTTTATTGGCACCCATGAGTGTACATCCAAAAAGTAAGTCCCTTCAACTTATGGAGGTTCAACAAAAGCAGATGTTCTATATATTCGCATATGTTTAACACCATCAGTATGTATGCTTATTGATTGAAGTGTTGGATGGTCAAAATCAACATACAAAATAATCTTAGTGTAGCTAAGATGAGAACATTGATATGAATGTACGTGGCTACTGAAAAAGATAGAATAAGAAATGTTTTCATTTATGAACACTTAGATATAATCACAGTAAAGGTTAAGATGAGAGAAAATTGATTAAAATAAAATGAAAATGTTTAAAAGACCTAAAGATACTGTGGTTAGACAAGCTGAATCGATTAGAACTAGTGGTGTTAGAGAGGTAGAGGAAAACTTAAAAGAAATTTATTGGAAATAATTAGAAATATTTTGATTTTTTTATTTAGCTAAAGCTATTACCTTACATAGAGTTCAATGATGAAAAAGGTACCATTTAACAACCCTATACTATGACTTATTGCTTTATTGTATTATATATGGTCACTACTTAAGTATCTTAGAGGTAAAACCGTACCCATGACCTTACAACTATCTTGTAAAAATTCTTCTTAATTTAAGGGTCACATGATGATCATTCAGCATTCTATCATCCTTTCCCCTTAAACAATCTTATTTTAGTTCTATATTCAATAGTTTCATTCATCTATTTTTCACATTGAATAATAGATCGTTTGTTTAAACCAAGGTTCGTCGTACCGTAGCATACCGTCCGGTATGGGCGGCATATACCAGTCCGATAGGGGACCGATATAAGTAGTACATTAGTATGCCTCTATGTATCGTGTGTCGGTATGCTCGGTACGGCTTGATACAACTCGATATGTATCGTACCGATAGCTGGTCGGTATGCTGGTATGGGCCGGTAAAGTGAATCATGATTTAAACATTTATAATTTTGTAATCTTCATGCCTATCTATTTTAACTATTCTTTATTTCTTCTATGATATTACTAAAGTTACATTTCACATTTTTTATCCTCATCTTTATTTATATCCCTTTACTTTTAATGTTTTATCTGCATAGCCAAGTTCAGAATTAATCTCAACTAAACATTCACCAACGAAAAATATCCTTAGCACAAATAGCAAATATATACTATAGAAATCTATTTACAATATATCTACTAAGTTAATCCATTATTGAAGCCAAAAATTAAGGGCTTAAAGCTGACCCTTGGTGCAAAACTAAAGTAATAGAAAACCCTTTTTGATACTTCTTTTGTCTTATTGCAGGTGACAACTCCTCTTACTGTTAATTTACTTGCTTTTCACATTGATACAAGTATATAAGATATTTAGGAATGTCCATATATGAATGTGTTTGTTTTTTCAACGTTTCATTTGCTGAAATGTTTCGAAAACTCATTAGTGTGTTTGAAATATGAAAGATGAAATTACCTTACAGCAACAAAATGCAAAATTGTCTTGATAATTTCATGTTCATGCATTCCTACTCCAAACATCTTTATTATATATGGTATTGACAAAGGACTAAAACTATCAACACACAAAGCTACGCAAACAAATGCCAGATAGACTCATTGTTTTCATCATATTACAGTTGCAGTTAATCGTATTGGTCAATTGTTTGATAAAGAATATTGCTAGCTGATTTCAGTTTGGCTATTTTGCTCATAGGTTGTACCTTAGAAGTGATTGAATACTTTTTGTTAATAGTTTTGTTCTCATTCAAGTTATTTCCAACTTCTTGTTTGAAAATGTCTTTTAATTAGCTATTCTAACTTCTTAATAGTAGTTTTGAATTCTTTGATAATTCAATAAGACCTTAACATCATTTCTTTTATATCCCAGAAACTTCTATCGTGCAAAGGTTTTGAAAATAAATTATGGAGGCAAACAAGTCATCGGGGGAAAGAGGGGATATGCTATCCCCGTAATATTTGATACTGGCAGCTCCTACACTTACTTTCCTGTTGAAGCATATAGGAAGCTCATCACTTCTGTAAGCATAGATAATAGTGATTCTGGAGTAAAGATTAGTATTTATTAATTGATTAATTATTTTCTATGAACTCACAGTTGAAGACAATATCCAATATTTTTGTCCAAGATTCCTCAGATCTGACAATGCCAATCTGTTGGAGGGCCAACTTTCCTGTCAGGTAATGTATTATTAACTGTTATGCAATCAATTTTATGCACTAACTTGCAACTGTAGACACATTTCTGTGATATCTATATTTTTCATGTTCTTGCCAAATTTATTTTTGAAATCTACCCAAGGGAATAGTTTAAATAATAAAATGCTTTATCTTCAGAAAAGGAATACTCATCATAAAAGAGAAAGGTTCTCACTGTTCTTTTATTCCACCAACTTAACAAGCTTTAGAATATTACCTAGAATTTCAGTTTGGAGAAAAATCGCTGACATTGCATTCATTATAAAACAGTTGTAACATTTGCACTGAAATTGGTTTAGTGTGGTCATGTTATAGCAATTCTCTTTATTATCTTTTCTTAAAAATCAAAACACAGATTGATAAAACTTGAAGAGTTGCAGGTCTTTTAAAGACGTGAAGCACTTCTTTCAGCCATTAACTTTGCAATTTGAAAAGAGATGGTGGATCATGTCTAGATCGTTCACTATTCCACCTGAAGGATATTTAATGATCAGTGTATGACTCTTCAGCCCTTTGTGTCACCACTTTGATAACGTAACACAATTCATATCTGTGCATCATTAATATGTGCAGAACAAAGGCAACGTGTGCTTGGGCATTCTTAATGGAACTGAAGTACATGATGGGTCAACTATAATATTAGGAGGTATGTATTATGTGATTATGTCATTTCTTTTGTGCCTCATAGACTGATATTTGATTTGACATTCAAACATTTAGGGAAAGAAAGTTTGACATTTAGATATGAGACAACCTAATTCAGGGATCATATAGGTTAATTAAATAGAAACTAGAATCCAAAAGTCCAATTGAAACCATTTTGAATATTCACAAAACCAAGCCAATTCTATCTGATGCCATGTGCTACTTCGACAAGTTAGTAACTGTGATAAGATTGAAGTATTGACATTAAGCAAGTAAAAGAAATAAGAGCAGAATATATTCGAATTATTTATAGTGGTCCAATTACTCTCATGACCATATATGACCTTCAACAATGGAGTAAACCTCTATGCATATTCCTTTTTCAAACTTGAGAACAAACTTTAATCCTCATGAGGTACCTTTATGCACGTTTTGTTTTCAGGCTGATGAGCAAAATGCTTAAAGCAATCTTCAAGAGCCATTTCCTTTTGAGACACCATCTGAAACAAGAGAGAAAATCTTATACTAATTAAGTAGAGAAATAAAAATTACAATTAAGCTATCATGTGTAAGCCAAGTGGATTTAGAAAATAAGTTCCGTGAGAATAGTTAGGTGTTTGCCTATTAAAAGCAATGATTTGGCAAAAATGTCTCGATCTTTTTGCCCAAAATGGCTTCTAAAAATGAGTACTTGTATAAGAGTTAGTCCTATATAATGGAGCCAACAAATAGTTCAAATTATCTTTTTGCTTGAACCATTGACTCAAAATATTTAAGTTGAAGTTCATAGTAATATCTCCGACTAGTCAGGGATGTTACAATCTTTCCCACTTAAAGGCTTGACGTCTTACTCAAGCTCGATCTAAAGGGATAACTGGCCTATCAACTTGGTTGAGTCTGAACCATTGGCTCAAAATACTTAAGCTGAAATTGATATTAATATATCCATCAGACCTTTATTAGTCAATCTTGGTTTTACTCACAATTGATATGAGACTAATCAGGGTGTTACATGTAGTAAGTCAATTACTTTCGAAGCAAATACAATAGACAAGCTTTACAAAAATGTTATAATTTCCTTATCCAAAATAGTCTTTTAACAAAAGTATTTAAGTGCCCATGGCTTGAAGGAATATTGGCAAGAAAGTCCAACTTCCTTCCCATAGTAATCAATTGCTTTCAAAGCAAATACAATAGAGTAAATTTACAATTATAATAAATACTTCTGTTAAGAGATCGTTTTGGATAAGGAAATTATAAGTTCCACATAATAGAGATAATAGATAGTCTCATATAGATTGCAGTAAGAGCTCAAAGAGAAGGCAAAGGAAAATTGCTTTTTAGAAATGTTATAATTATTTGGCCCAAATGTCTCCATGAAAGGATTATTTCTGAAAGCGTAAATATCATATAATAGAGAAAAAAGTTAGCCCTAACCATGGTTGCAAATTTTGTTTATACTCATCGATACTGGTCAACATTTATTGATTTGATGCTGGACCGATATGCAAACCAAGGGGTTTTGCCCGATATCTGTTCATGCCGTGCTTTCCGCTTGGTGTGGTTACCTTACTAGGTGTATCGATTGGTTTTACCTGTTGGAACCAAATGTACCACTTGCTACAATATTAGTTTTTTTCACTTTCGACAATTATCAACATTGCTTTTTTTCTCTTTTCATCATGTGCACTCTCTTCCCCTTGCCTCTTCTTAATGTCATTGCCCTCATCTCCTTTGTCCCATCATATCACTATAATCACCTCATTCTTGAACCAGTATTCTTCAACTCTTCTACCTTCTCCACGTCGCATTCTCCACCTCTTCTTGTTCTTCTCCTCTCTCTCTCTCTCTCTCTCTCTCTCTCTCTTGTCTGAAAAGTAAGTGTTAGTATGTTAATTCATACTAGCATCATTCTGGTTAGAATGCCAATTGGTATTAACACTGGATCAATATTTTAAATATTGGTCCAAAGAAATGCCAAAATAACCCTATAATGCTATAATGATTGAGTTAGCTAATAGAACATTGTCGACAGTGCAGAATGACTTGGCTTTCTATCCAGAGATATACGATAGGCCACGAAGTGAGGATGCCACCAATCTACCAGTTTGGCATTTAAGCCAATGGGATTTCCAACACCACATTAGAAGATAAGCATCTCCCCAACAGCCTATGCTAATACTTTTATCAGCCTTGCTTAGGTATTAGCTTAGTGATCCAACAGACTTGCTCAAATACCATCAAGCTATACAGCCCTTTTTTTTTTCTTTTTAACTTGTGCCAGTTTAAATTCCTAGATTAGGGTGTTTTTTTGCTGAGCGAGTGTGTGCAACTGCTTTCTTTTGCCAAGTACGTCATGGGTATGTTCCCAACGAAGCAAATGTAACAATACCATAAATGATCTTCAATTAGTCTTCAACTCAAATTGTCCAACAGCCTTGTGATCGCCCACCATGTTCTTGGTAAGGGTCATCATGCTTAGTGCCATCACAATAAGTTTTTTTAGCCAACTTCCTGGACTCTCTAATATGGTTTTGGCTTAATTTCCTATATTCTCCAAGTATGTTAATTAAGATCCTATTGCTATATGCAATTTATAGTAATAATCACCGTTGTGTTGATTGCCATGAAAACAAAGCTTATTTTAATTGCCAATTGAAATATTAGTTCGCATAAGTTAATGTTCATATAATTCTATGTTGTCAGACATTTCCTTACGGGGGAAGCTGATTGTGTATGATAATGTGCAACGGACAATTGGATGGACTCACTCAGACTGTAACAACCCGCAAAAAGCCACAGGTTTCCCTTTCTTCTTCTGAGGTTATGGGAACACAGAAAAAGGTATTGTCAATGGTTGGATAACAGGAATCCAGAATGATAGATTCAAGCTTATTTTTTGGTGATGTACATATTTAAGTAGTATCAAGGGGATTACCAGCCTTTATATGCTCCCCACTTTTCTGGATATAAATAAGGTGAACGTTTAAGCTATAAAGACATAAGTTGTGTGAAGTTAGATGTTGAACTTGTTGCAATTGTACACAACATACTCATGGCTGGAACATGACTGTTTGATTATTTGACATGACCGTGCTTTTCCCAGGAGACAAACCATTTTATAGGTAGTCAACTTACCTCCACAAGATTCGGCAATTTCTGCTATTTAATTCTACAGAAGTTGGAGCGAGTTAGGGAGTTGGAGTTCACAGATATCTAATTTCTTTTATTAAGCTGGATTTTATGTATGCTAATTATGAAAAGAGGTATGAAGGTTTTCTCAGATCAGTCTGAAATAATTATAAGTTCGTAATTGTTGCGGCAAAAATCAACCAATTGTTACGTTCGAATCTTTGTGTTTTATCTTTACTAGTTATTTTGACTGAATCATACTTGGATTCGTTACTTCACTTTAATCAATAATCTAAATTTATATTATGACCCCTTAATTAAGGGATGCATACTAAAATTAAATATTATCTGCTTTTAATTAAATTATTCTTTGTTTCTTTTTGAATTAGTTATCCAGAAAAGCCTTTTTTTTAGTGTTTATCGACAAAATTTATTTGGGAGCATTTTTTAAATATAAATAAAATTTTGCCCATATGGTTAATGTACAAAGATCATGCAAAAAGGGTTAATTACATATTACATTTTATAATTCTATAGTTAATTCTCTTTTAACATCTCTCTAGACATATAAAATTTATATTAAATTTTTTTATAATTATAAAAATAAAATATTTAACTTTTTGTAACCTAACGTCGTTGACTTTATCAAATACAATATATAACAATATAACAGTATATGCATAAATGATATGAAAACGATAAGCAAAAAAGTAATTCAACGTTTCAATTAGTGATGGTGGTGGACGACGATGTCGTTAGGGATCGCAAGTGATTGTTGTGGTGGTAGTCAATGAGAATGACGTGGTGGTCGACCTTGTTGATGTAGATCAGAACATCATGATCGAGGCAATGGTGATAGCCACGATTATGATAGCGGCATCAGTTTGATGATGATGTTGGTGGATCTTAAGGATGTCCTTGAAGATGGATGGGGTGAAGTCTTAAAGTTGGAGTTGAGAGACTTCTATGAGTTTTTGTGGAGGAGGAAGGGGATGAGAATGATGGTTGTGCTAACGCAGATGCAAAGTGGTGCCACTCTACTCTCCATCGGCGTTGACACAGTGGCACTCATCATTCTTCCCCCTTCCCTAATCCCTCATCTTTCTTTCCTCTTCCTTGATCTCTCATTCTTCTTTCCCCTTTCGTTACTCTGCATTTGCATCGACGTTGATGTAAATATAGGACAATGTAGAGCAGAAGGTGACGTAGATACCGACACTCTGTATTTATGTTGGCATCACTCTGCATCTATATTAGTGCGACCATCATCCTCATCCTCTTCCTCCACCCACAAGAAGCCGTAAAAGTCCCTTATGCTAAACCTCTAGGACTTCACTCCATTCATCTCCAAGGACATTCTCGAGATCCAACACAACTATCCTCAAGCTATTGCCATTATCACGATCATCATTGCCGTGGTCGCCACCCCTGCTTTAGTCATCGCCCTTGCCTCACTTATCAATGTTTAGATCCATATCAATAAGGCCGATCACTATGTCATTCTTGTCGACCACCACCACAACAATCACCTATGGCCTTAGTAGCACCACCATCTACTACCACCACAATAATCGATTAAAAAGTTTTAACTCTAACATAACAAAAAAATATAATTAGGATACTAGAATTATCTTTTTACCTATCATTTTCGTGATACATGCTGTCACATGTTGTATCTTTCGTTGGTAAAACCAATAGTGTTAGGGTAACAAGATTAAATACTTCACTTTCATAACTAGAGATTTCGATATAATTTTTTTAAATGGAATGATCGAGAGATCTAATTACATGGGATAATCAACTTAACTGATTTGCGTCAATGCATCCAAGCTTTACTTTTAATTTTTTTTAAATTTTTATATTAATATTTTAATTATAAATAATTTAATTTTATTTAAATTTAAAGGTAAAAATTCTACTTTATTTTTATTGGCATTAGGATTGAGATTCTATTTTATTGGCATTATTATTTTAAAATTCCCTGAAATGTTTGTGAATTGAATTCAAAACTGTATTTCCTCTTCTTAGTGTCTTATTAATGGAACTTCTCCATTTTCCTGGGGACAACGAGGATTTAGGCAAGGAAACTGTTTTCACTCTTTTTTTTCGCCACCCAATTGCTTACTTTTCTCTTAAATAATACATGTTTTCAGAAAAATATCTCACTTTTTTCCTTTATGCGAACTTTTAAAAACTATCATTTATTCTATGCTGGTGACACGATCTTTGTTAGAGTAAATCTTAGATCATGTGAGAATGTTAGGAATTTCAAGGTTTTTTAGAGTATTTCCCATATGAAGGTCAAATCTCCTCAAATCATATATTATCTTTCAATAGCCATCATAACATTTGAATTTTTTGGCATTAAGAAGGATAAATTTTCTTTTGGAGATTTGGAATCTTTTATGGCTAATTTATCAAAAATATATTTATCATTAGTCTTTTATTATATGATGCTTCTTTTTTTTGTGGGGGTGCTCCTTTTTTTTTTTTTTTGTAGTTTGGACTCAATATGTTTTTTTTTTAATGTTAACAACATTAGAACCAAAGTATAATTCATGATTCAATTTTTTTTTATTGAATTGATATGATCTAATTCGGATCAAAGTTTCAAAACCCTTATCCAACTTTTCTCCTCTACTATGCTTTCGTCACCTCGCTTTACTCTATAGGTACTTGCTTTAAATCATATAGTCTCTTTTTTAATTTATATATTTTATTTTTAAATTCTTTTAGCATAAATCCAAGAGGTTGTTCAACGTACATTACTTCTCATAGCTCATCATTCGAAAAATATTGATTTCAATTATTTTGAGCTATAAGAGAAAGTACTAACATAGTTGTTTCTTATCTAACAATTAATAGAAACCCTTCATCGTAATCTATCTCCGACTTCTATTTGTGTTCATTTGTAGCTAGGATATGTACTTTCCAATAGGATTATCGTAATTTTATTTTGTATAACATAGACTTTTGCTTTAGAAATAAATTAACTAAATCCTACATTTAACTCTTTTCGATAGAATCAACATTCACTTGCATTGTTTTTTTCTATTTTACACCATTTGATGCCATCTCGAAGGAGACAAGATGAACGTGAAAAGATTAGTAATAATAAAGATTCACTTGCAAAGCGAACTACATACTATCAACTTCTTCTGTATTTATAAAATAATAAAGATTAGTAATATAAAGTTAAAAGACTGATGTAGATGGAGACGTTAAAGATTCTTCTTTAAGTTGATGGGCTTAAAGAATCTTTAGTTGGATAAGAAGATTCTCCTAATGTACTTAAATCTCATGTAATTGTTTAATTGTAACTTCATTATATACATCTGTTAAGTAAATTGGAATAAATTTACCTACATGAAAGTTTTTTATTGATTATAATCTTTTCAGCAATAAAATTATAAAGATTTTAAGTCTTTAAAATCTATCTATAACTATATAAAAAAAAGATTTTACCATATCATTCAGCTTCTTTATTTTTCTCATCTAGACTATGAGCATAAACAACATAATAGAAAACTCTAAGATGACTCACATCAAGCTTATAATCATTTTATAATTTTTCATATGTCATATTTATACTTTTTGAGAGATATAGATTTAAAATATATACAACTTCAGTCCAAAAATTCTTAGAGTGATTTCCAAATCATGTTCATTGTTGCTCTATTTTTCCTCTCAGCAACACTATTATATTGTAGAGTATATGTTATAGCCAATTGTCTCTTAATTCCATAATTTTCACAAAATTTATTAAAATTATTAGAAGTAAATTCAGTATTCCCAAAATCTTAATTTAACAGTCACTTTCCCAAAATCTTAAATCTTTAAAAAAATATGAAAATCTTTAGAATTTCTCTTAAAAAATAAATCTAAAATTTTCTACTAAAATCATCAATAAAGGTGAAAACAATATTTTTTATTAGCAAATGTAAAACTTCTAGCAACTTTCTAGCTCTTTTAAGAAAGGACTTACGATGTTATTTTCTTATAATACATTTGTCACATGCTTTATGAGAGTGAGTAATAGGGAAACATGTAACCATATTTTTCTAATGAAATATTTTTAAGTTATAAAAAATATAAATGGTCAAAACGCAAATGCTATAATCAAGAATCTTAATTACTAAACTCAAACATGAAGAATAGGTATCTTTCTATTGTCTTTAATATCAATTATAGAATTATTATCAAATTTTACTTTTGAAATAAATAATTTATTTAACTCCAGAAGAGGCTTTTATTTTCAGTCATGTAATTACTAGCTTCAATATTTAAGAACTATCGAAAATTTTTTCTATTGTTTCACAAGCCCATAAAAGATTTGCATGTATCTCCTCCTTTTTCCTATCATGTTCTTGAGCGAAAGGATTCTTTAATACATTCATAATCAAAATAATAATTATTATTATAATTACAGTATTGAATTTGATACTTATCTAAGTTGCGATAACCACGTCGTCTTCTTCTATATCCATAGCCTATAAGCTCAATCATGTCCTCTATTGGTTTTTCGATTTTTATCATCTTCTTGATTTTTATTAATGTTTCTCCCTCTACCTTAATTGATAAGCTTATTTTTGCCTTACCTCTCCCTCTTCTTTTTGTATAGGATAGTATTATTTAATGCTTTTTACTGTAAGAGTTGCTCAAGTTGTATGTATTTATTTATTCTTTGTTTATGGATCATCAAAGACCTTATCAATCAATCGATGTCATCTTTTCAAAATCTTTGAACTCCTCGAATCAAAATCTTTCAAAATCAATTAATAGATGTTAGTAATTTAAGAATCTTTTTCATAATTTTAATATAATTATGATTTGTGATGGCCAATGTGCAAGAAAAATAATCTGATATAGATTTACTTTAGTTCATCCTTAACACTTTCAAATTATGATATGAGTGCCTAAGGCATATTTTCTTAGCTTAGTTATATCTTGATAAATCTTTT